TTTCATGGTTATACATTTTTGCATTAACTCTTACGCGGTAATCTCGGAACCAAATAAAAAAAATATAAAGGGTTGGGCACCGAGATAACTCTTTTTCAAATTGTTTCTTCACTGATTTCGATGACCTGCTTTTCCACACATAAACGATTTGATAATGATTTTTGAATTTTATATTTGAAAAGTCACTTTCCTTATTCGATCCTAAGAATAGAGTTTGATCTCTGCGAAATAATATTGTAGCAGAGACAAATTTCAAATATTTTCAAAACACATGGTTTTTTTCATGGTTTTGAAAATACCCTCACCCCTCGGTCACAATCAACCCAAACAATTTTGAATGGGGAAAGTAGTGAGTGTTACATAATTAAAAAAGGTAATTCCATAAGGAATTCGGCCATGTCAATTTTCGCTACCTAACTTTTTATTTTGGCGCCCTTAATGCAAAAACAATATGGTGGCTTCAGATGGCTGATGACAAAATCAAAATTAGTGAGTGGGGATTTTTAGGGATTTGCAAATCTTGTCCGTCATTGTGGAGCCGCCATTTTGTTTTTCCCTTAGAAAAATTCATAAAACAATGACAACCAAATTGATGTCAAATTAGCTTGCAAATGAAGTACCATAATTTGAAACACGAAACAGTTTTTTCCGCGCGCCAAAATAGAAAGTCAGGTAGCGAAAATCGACATGTCCAAATTCCTTATGAATTTACCTATTTAATGATGTGTCACACTCACTAGTTTCTCTATTCAAATTGTTTGGGTGGTAGTGACTGAGGGGTGGGGAAAAAGGTTATAGTTGTGAAATTCCAAATTGACCAAGAAGTGAAATGTTGAATGATACTGAAATTGAAATGATTTTTGAATACTCAGAACATCATAAAAAAATATTATTTATCTCCTTATCTTCGTTTGCATTTAGATAACTCTTTTTCAAATTGTTTCTTCACTGATTTCGATGACCTGCATTCCACACATAGACGATTTGATAATGATTTTTGAATTTTATATTTGAAAAGTCACTTTCCTTATTCGATCCTAAGACTAGAGTTTGATCTCTGCGAAATAATATGGTAGCAGAGACAAATTTCAAATATTGAGAAGTGAACAATTTTCGGTCAACCAATGATTTTTCAGGAGTAGTCGTTGTGAAAAATGATGTTTGGGTGGTATGATCCAGAAATTCCTAATTTCAAGTGAGTGTTATTGAAATTCTCGTAGACAGATACCACCAAAAAGTGACCCCTTTGAACTCCACATGTTGCTTATCATGTTTTTTTTTTCATTCAGTAACATCAACATAACATCTGGGCTGAAAAGTCCTGAGTCTAAGAGAGAAAACGCGTTTTTTATGTTCAAAATTGGTTTAAGTCATCAAAGTAAGAGCCACACAATCATTTCAGCACCGCTCTAACATTTTGATACCACTTTTGTAAAAAATTAATTCTTTGCCTGAAAATAGGCCTCAGTTTCAGGAATAACCTATTGATTCGAGCAGAATTCCTTACCAGTGAGCATTTTTTGAAGTTTGCGAACAGCCACTGGTCGCTGGGAGCTAAACCTGTTAAATATGGTATGCGGGAGCAATTTGAAGCCCATTTCATGCAATTTTGCCATCGTTTCCATTGATTTGTGACACCATGTAGTGTCTTGATGGAGCACCACTTTCTTTTTTTGAAATGAGGTCGTTTTTCCGCAATTTCCACCTTCAAACGTTTCAATAACACTATGTAATATTCAGTATTGAAGATATTCCCCTTCTCAGTATGGTCGCTGAATATTACACTACGCACATCATAAATACCGAAGCCATAACCTTTCCAGCCGATTGTTCTGCTTTCGGGCGCTATGGACGAGATTCAACAGTTGCTCTCCACTCACATGACGATCGTTAATTCCGGAGTGAAGTGATGGATCCATGTTCCATCCATTGTCACATATCGACGCAAAAATTCTAGTTTGTTATAGCCGAACACTGCTCGGAATCAAGACGTTCTTGTTTTTGGTCAACAGTGAGCTCGCCCGGTGCCCACTTTGAACAGAGCTTTCTCATAGTGGAAAGCTCATGCAATATAAAGTCAACACGTTCTTTATATATCTTTACAATGCCAGCTAACTCACGTAACTTCACTCATCTAAAGCGATTTTGTGAATAATTTTTGTTTTCAGGTACCTTATTTGAACGTCCACTGCGTTCTGCATCATCGGTGTCTCTACGACCACGTTTGAATTCAGCAAACCAACCTTCAATTGTTGTTTCTGGTGGAGCGGAGTCCTTATAACACTTCAAGACTTTGCTCCGCTTGAACTGTATTTTTTCCCATCACGAAGCAGTGCGAAATAAAAACAACAGTTTTTTTTGATCCATTGTTTCGAAAAATACAAAAGTAGCGTCACTCTCTTCTTAGCACAATAACTCACAAATCCATGAGTCGAGTATCCTAAAATTCCAACAGCTTTCTTTCGAAGGTTAATACTGACTGAAAAAGCGGTGAATGCAATGCTACTAACGCCATCTATGTGGTAGGCCCAAGACTTTTCAGTCCATGTAGTATTTTATAATAGTATTTCTATAATAGTAGGCACTAAATTCATATGAACAGTATTGCATTAAAACGAAAACATTGTTGTTAAATTGATTCTATATATTTTATCATTATTTTTCATTTTTGTTTGAATGTAGTTGACAATGTTCCATGGTGAATTTCATCAGTTCGGATTTCCATTGTCTGATATGAAATGAAATCATTTGTTTGGTATAATTTCCGTTTGCCACTGCAAGAGACAGATTAGGACGAAAATGTCAGTGATTTCTGAGAATTCAGTGTCTACTATTTCTGAATTATAGGATAGTTGAAAACCAGAGACCAGACACATATTTCATACATCTCAATAGCTTTCACAAGAACCCTGAATACTCAGATATTTCTGAAAATCTTGAAACACATAAATACTATTTGGTGAAGTGAATATTTTGTACGGTGAGGATGAGTCACGAATATACACTGTGTCCAAGATAAGAATGAACAGCATGGGGAAATCGGAAACGGTGAGTGATACGGGGTCGATTGAATTAGAGAAAAGTAGCGCATTCATGTGCCTGATAATATGCCATTAAGAAATTTTTAATATTCCGAGTAGTTTCGGAGATATCCGAAAAAAACCGAAATTTGAGAATTTTGTTTTCATTTTCTCCTAGCTTTATTTTCGAAAGAAATGTAAAACAAATAGCACTTTGCCATGGCCACTTTTTAAAGGCTATACGATAACATGTACAGAATTTTTCTGCAACGTTTCGTCTTTTAGGAAACATCATCAACTTTGTATTTTTATATAGGCCGAAAATCAAGTATACCCTGTAACGACGCCATTTTTCATTGTGAATACAGCAACGTATCACACAATATGATTTCATAACTATATCTCGTTAATTAGGTTGAGTTGAAAAACAGCTTAAGCTGAATTTCGCCTTTCATCATAATTTTTGTATATTATTATGTTGATGAATAAAGCCCATTATTATTATAAAAAAAAATAAATGTAAAAGTGATTACTCATTCTGCTTATCTTCAATTTTAGATAGCACGCGCTGGAAAAAATGTCATTTTTTGATACATGAAGTAAATTGATAAGTCTAATTTATAACAAATTTTAACGTACCACTTGCCGGAATTTTTGCGTTGTTCAATACAAAGATGAGTCTCAATATCAAAAGTTTAGTTCATAAAATGTAATTGTATTGTAATAACAGGGAGCTAATATGTATTATAGGAAATAAACAGCAACTTATAACAAGTGTTAACTCGCCGTTATTTTCTGAGTGCGAGTATTCTTGTCTCACAGACGAAATTAATATTCGGAACAATATTGTTGAAGGATGCAGTAACCAATCTTAGCAAATCTTCTTCATTTTGAAAATCCTGAGAGAACAGATGATTCTTGATATACCCCCAAAAGAAAAAGTCTAGTGGGGTTAAAAATGAAGTGGGCGGTGGATTTGTCTACTCCGGTATTACGTTCAATGGTGCGAGTGGATATCTCAGGATTTTCAACAACGGCCTGTAACACATAATGCTGACTTTCTTCATCAGATTGCTTTTGTCGGGAAACCATAGGTATTTTGAATGATCCATATTCTTTTGAATTAAGAACTAAACGTCTAAATATTGATTTACCAGGTTCTCGCCTCTCTGGGTACTTATTAGAGTACGCACGTTCAGCATCAACACAATTTCTTTGGCACAAAATGTAATACGACAACATATCACATTTTTCAGCAGCGAAAAGCTGCCGTTTTCCATTTGCGACACAAATTAGGTAGGCAACGAGATGTAAAAGTAGGAACGGTAATATGTCAAAAATTCCACCAAACAACAGTATTATCATTACAACAGAACATTATGTGTTATTTTTTCCAGCTCGTAATATCTAAAATTGCAGAAAAGCAGGTTAAGTAATCACTTCTTTTTCTGCATGAGAAATGGTTATGAAATCATATTGTGTGATAAGTTGCTGTATTCACAATGAAAAATGGAGTCGTATACAGTTTCTGCCCATATAAAAATACAAAGTTGATGATGTTTTCTAAAAGACAAAACGTTGCAGAAAACTTCTGCTTACGTTATCGTATAGTCCTTGAAAAGTGGTCACGGTAAAGTATTATTTGTTTTACATTTCCTTCGAAAATAAAGTTAGGAGAAAATAAAAACGAAATTCTCAAATTTCGGTTTTACCCGGATATTTCAGAAACTACTCGGAATATTAAAACTTTCAAAATGGCATATCATCAGGCACATGAATGCGCTTCTTTTCTCTATTCAATCGACCCCGTAACACTAACCGTTTCCGATATCCCCATGTTGTTCATTATCTTGGACACAGTGTAGTATATCTGATGTATATCATCATTGGAAAATATTGAAATCTGATATAATTTTATTCATAGAATTTATGAATCAACCTGTATTCTGGAGCGCAACCGAATTAAAAAATTCTGCAACACATATCATTGGATGATCAATAACTGTAATATGTTCTGAAATTCATGATCCCATGCTAGTCGCACCCCGCTGAACTCCCAACATCTGAACTATTTTTTCCCATAATAAGATGAGAAACATAAAATTGATGAAAAACTAGCCATGCGCTTGCGACAACACTCACTGACACAGGTAGGGACTTGCAGAATAAGTTGAGGAGGGCTGGTACCGTCTTTAGAAGTTGTTAGATTTCCAATGGACTTGATCTCATCCTTGGTGGTAACAATCAGTGGATCCCCAGATACATTATTGTTATCCGGCTTCTGATTGGCGACACTGAATGCGGAGTTTTCTTCCTTGGTTATACTCATGTAATAACAGGTATCGTCCTTTTTCATTATGTGACGTGGACCAGGGTTTAATAATATAGTGTCTTCATAGAATTCGGGTAGTTGAGCAGGTCGAACACCTACTAGAGCCACCCCGTATCTGTAAAAGGAAAGAATATCAGTGCCTGTAGTTTACGTGGTTCAGATAATGATATGTTTTCGAATATTGTAGAAAAAATGATCATTTATTTATTTTTCTATCGAAGACAAATTAATCGTTCGTAATCAAACGTTCACAAAAATATTATAACACATGGATCAATAAGTCCCGAGACTAACAATGAAAACAACATTTTTTTTACAAATTTTTTTTTATTCATCAAACCATTTTTTAAACAAACTACAAAACGACTTTACTCTAACCTCGATAACTCAGCTGTTTCTGGTCCGATCGACTTAAAATTTCGACACATTTCAAGCAAAGGTTAGTACTCTAGAAAGACGTGGTTACTGGTTTACTAAGAGCGCCATCTCTGGGTTAGTCTCGGGACTTATTGATCCATGTAGTAATGGTTACTCTAAAACGATTCCTCTAATTGGAAAAGATCGGCTCATCAAAGAAGATGTGCGCGATCAAATTACCAATTCACTATCATTTTGTTTGTGAATCATTAAAATCTGATCGACATATAGATTCATTAAGATTACCGTAAAAATATTTCAATCATGTTCGAATTATACAAGATGTTCCAAATTAAGTCGGTACCATTGCCAAACTCCATTATTATTGATGCTACGAATTCGGTTAATTGATCAAACTAGTAAAGTAGCCGTATATGGAATACTGCCTAAAATGTGGAATACTTCCTTTGCAGCAAAAGTGATATCGCCATCTTGGCCAGAGGTTGCATCTTTAGATGCAACCAACTGATCTTCAGCCTTTCCCGTTTCAGTAAATGTTCACATTTATTTATTGTATCATTCTGGGAATGAAGACCTATTATTATTATTATCATTATTATCTATCTTCCAATAGAGTAATCAGAAGCTCTTTCAATTATGTTTCACCCCTACCAATACCATGGAGCATTTTGCAGCTGTCGATTGCCAGTATTGGTTCGAACACATGGTGTAACGTTCGTTAGATTTTTGCACGTATTTGAATAAACATCTATTGTGACTCCATGTATACAAATTTTTGCAAGATTCCTGTATGAGCGTGAAGGTAGGTAGTAGTTGATTGTAAAATATTTTAAATATTTCATTAAAATTTTGTTTTTGATGTTTTCCAATTTTTTTATAAATATTCAAAAGGTCGGTATTGTGGAATACCAAGTTGGGTCTGAATGTGGAATTATATTCAGGACAATAATTCCATAAAAATCAAAATATGAAGAGATGAGTACTTTTTGATCATTCCCATATTGATATCAATTTAAGAGCCACCGGTATACAGCTTGTAAAATCTGGTTTTTTTTTGGACTCTGTGAAGTACTAACTTCACATCAAATGTTTTGGATTAGTAGGCTATGTCCGAAAGAAAACATGAATTCGGCCTTTTGCTCGAAGAAAGGGTCTTAAGTGAGTTCGCAGCTTTTCTTTTTTTCTAGGAGGTTACGAAGTTGGAGTTTTGAAAGAAAACTCGACTTTGTAAATAAAATATTATATTGAATAATAAAAAAA